ATTAGTTTGGATAAATAAAACTCCAAAGCAGGAACATAAGTATGTATTTTCTATATCAACTGTCCTCAAGAGCAACCAAAATTAGAAATTGATAGATGGCGCTCTTAAAATTTTAAATTATTCATGGCATAAGTAGAGAGAGACCGATTAGTTTGACACATTTATCATTATCTATTTTAAACATTGCAAACCAGACAGTGAATTCGTGTTTTAAGATCACAGCTTACTCTTCAATTTCTATAATTAACTTGCTGCTCTTCAATAATGGATAGTTATAAATTTAGCCTATTAAACATCTTGGAAAATAAACTGGAATATCAATTCTCATATATTTTCTTTGAATCCAATGAAAAGGGGAAAAGAAAAACAAAAAGTATGGGAATAATATAATGATACAAAGAAATATGGGAAACAACGTACATTTAATCAGACCGACTGTCCGTGTTGCTTCTTCTTCAAATCATTTCCTTAACTGACCCAATATAGCATCTAATCAGTATACCAAAAGAACATGTAATTGAAAAGAATTAGTAGAAATGAATGCCTATTTAATGACACGGAGAAAGGGGTAGAAGGGAAGAAATCAAACCTTCAAGAATATAGAGCGAATGACAAAGAATCTGCACCAACGCTCATTTTCGTGCGATTCTTGGCGGTATTATTGTTAGGGTTTCGGGAACTTAAATATCGACGATGGCTGGAGGAATTAAAGAGTGTTGGGGGGTGGAATTCGGGAAAGATAGGACAGAAAGTATGGCAGTCAGGATGGTATAGTTGCGTGTAAAAATGGAGACGTGTTGCGTGAAGTGAAAAAAAAATTGAATTATGACGACAACGGGAAATCGCGACACGTGGCGTGAGAAGTTTTTGCCTCTTTTATATTGTAGTGATGAGAATAAATATGAATGAATGCTTGCTAATGTTCTTCCCTTCTTGATTGAATTTAAGCTCGTTGATTAGTTTCCCAGCTAATATTTTTTCCATTCCTTTCTATTTCCATTGTGATTTTGTTGATCATATGATAAATTCAGTGCTATTACATAACATTACATAGACCGGCGCTTCAACATCAATGTGCTTGATAACATTTTTCTAATTAAAGTTGATTATAAATAACTTTGAAACATGTGTTTCAATATTTGTGTGCCAATAATTTTCTCTTCAACATTATCGTCACGAAATTTAATTACAAAATTTTCATATATGACATAAGGCCAACCTTTCTCCCTAAAAGAAGAAACGATGAATTTGTAGTTTCGTAGTCCATATTTGCAACGATGAATTTGTAGTTTCGTAGTCCATATTTGCTGCCAAGTTTTTCCTATTACAAAACTCGAGTTAATCAACATTATCTTACGATCTCATCAAGTAGCACTCTCCCTCGTGTACACGAGACAAAAATATTCGTCATATTAAGATTTTCTCGTTCAAAACAAGAATGCCACGTAATAGAACTCAAGGTACACGTGGTAATTTGCCATGCAAGTGTCTCTTCTTCTTTATATTTTGAAAGCTGCGGAAGAAATTTCATAGAACCCTTGTGTATTTTGATCTTAAGAAACTAGCCTTGACAAAGACGAAGGTGATCGTGGCGGCAAAGGAGGAGCAAAAGTTTTCACTGCACGAGCAGCCGGGGAACAGTGTTCTAAGAGGTGCGTCTAGTCGCAATGCGCAACAGGAACGCCAAGCCAGCCTTATTTAGCGGTCAACGGCAATCATCGATCACTACTGTGCGCCTTGTCTTTTTTTTTTAAATAAGTTTACAATTCTTTTAAGTTGAAACTTAAAGGTTGATTTCTTCATTTTGTTTCCCCTAAATTCAAAATAGCCTTTTAAAGCCTTGAACAAATGTATAAAGTTCCTATAAATCTATTTAGATGTTTGGTAGGTATTATTTTTAAATTTTAAATGATTTTTTAATTAAAAATTAAAATAAGAAAACAAATTGTTACGTTTTCTTGCACCTACTTGCCTAGCCCATAGCATTACGCCTTTTAGAACATTGTCAGGGAAACGTCATATTATGGACCCAATTCCAAAAGCTCTAAATCCTGACTATAGACCAGCCATCAAGCTCCATGTATGTCATTCACTTTGGATCCTTTGTCCTCAATCTTTATTTATTTATTTTTTTGACAGTATTTAAAAAATGCAGGGAAAGGTGGCTCTAGTGACTGGAGTCCGGAGGTGATTCTGGGATTGGAAGAGCTATTTGCTATTGCTTTGCCATAGAGGGTGCAACTGTAGCCTTCACATATGTAAAAGGTGAAGAAGAAAAGGATGCATATGATACTTTAAAGAAGATTCAAGAACTGAAGGGACCTGATGCAAAAGACCATGTTGCTTTGCCTGCTGATATATAGGGTTTGAAGAAAACTGCAAAATGGTAGTGGGTGAAGTTGTTAGTAACTATGGAGGTATTGATATTCTGGTTACCAATGCAGCTGAACAACACTTGAGCAACAATATTGAAGAGATCACTGAGGACCGGCTCCTGAAGTTTTTCAGAACGAATATATTCTATCAATTTTTCATGGTTAGGTAAGAATAAGGTAGTTTTGCGTAACGTTGAGGTACAACGTAGAAAAAAAGCAAAACTAGGAGATGTTTTTTCCCAAATTGACGTTCATCTGTGGGTATAGATGTATTTATTTGATGGAATAGATTTGTTTGGACAGGTAATTAGTAAGTGTATCTTTGTGTAGGCATGCTTTTAAGCATATGAAAGAAGGAACCAGCATAATCAACTCTACATCAGGGAAAGCTTGTTGTGGATCTCCAATGGTGCTGGACTACAGCTCAACAAAGGGAGCCATTGTAGCCTTCACCAGAGCTGTAGCTCTACACTTGGTGATCAAAGGGAATTTGGGTAAATGCCGTGCCCGTAGGACCGGTGTGGACCCCCTTGCTGGTTGCGTCCTTGCTCGAAGAAATGATCACAAAATTTGGTTCTGAAACGCAGGTGGGCGGGGCAGCACAACCTTATGAGATCGCGCCATCTTATGTTTTCCTAGGGCAAAACGCATTTCCTCACTTCTCATCCTACTTTAGATGGGGTGGTTCAACTTCGCTCACTTCTTATTGCATATTGGTCAGGGTTGCCCCTAAATGATTATCGAACATTGTTGTTGTGAGTATTGGTCCTCCTAACACTATTGGGCTGGTGCTATTTATGTCATTTGTCTTATGACTTATATTTGGACCATTAGTTGCCTAGGTGTCACTTACCTATTGGTGGCTTTGGTTTCACCCGGATTGTGTTAGTTTAGGCCGTTGGATTGAGATCAATGGATGGGATTAAATCTTGTGTTAGATATTTTTCACTTGGTTGACTTGAACCCTTATATTCAAGTGACTAATCTTCTTGGAGACTCTTCCGTCGTCTCTCTCGTGATCCTT